ACAAGGCATCCTGGAATGAGATCCCAAATAATCTTGCTATTCTTGTCTCGAAACTTTCTCTTCCATACCCACACTACCTCCCCTATACGCCTTGGTAACACCCAACTCATCTGTTGTGAAGCCAAAATATCGTTCCACAACCAACGAGCTTGTGATTACTTAAATTACGAGCTTGTGAATAGAATTAATCATTGATTGTCACTTAAATTTTAATCAAAATTTTTACGAATCCCATAAAACATGTGATCATAATATTTGACCTCATATTGTTTTTTTTTTCACTTTTTGACGGAAAAAAGTAACGGTGGACATTGTGTGATTTGATTCGGGTTTCTCGAGTCTCAGATCAATTTTATTTTTATTTTTTTTGTTATAATTGTGAAAATGAACAAGTTGATTCTACAAGAAAAAAGAAACCAGACCTAATTCGAATTGATCGATTCAGAGTGATCCTTATTGTCCCATGGAACCATCGGCTCTAATAAGTCTAAATATCGTGTATATTTTCTAATTTTATTTTTATATTTTATGTTTTAAACAATAAAACTCTTAATTATTATGAATATATATATGTATTTATATTAATTATAATTTTAAAAAGAGATTATAAAAAATAATTACAATTTTATTAGGAGATTATATAAAAATATTATTGGATAGTGAGTTGTGAGCCTTGTGACTGTGAGTTGTGAGCCTCGTGACTGTGATGATGTATTGAAATAAAAGGTGGTTGATCATATGTTGGCAACGGAGATCACATTGTCGTGTTAGGAAATTTCAACAGAATCAATTTCATTTCACTTTCTTAAAAGCCTCATTAATAAACTATAATAGTTTGAACTAATTGTGCGTTAGAATCTTGTCCATTACAGGCAGGGGCGGAGCCAGGATTTTTGGTTGGGGGCACAATTTACCTGATCTGATAATGAACGTCGAGTTTTGTCCAAGTCAGTTATTCTCTGAAAGAATCTCTTCATGAGATTTCAACAATTTCATTTCAACCGATAATACCCAAATTTTAGCAAGTTCAACTCAACAACGGGACAACACC